GAGAATATCCACAACCAGTCTCCTGGCAAGCTGTACTGACTCATGGAAAACTGCTCAATAGAAGAGGACAGCACATGGAAGGAACCCGTGGACATAGCTGTCCATCCCACAAATAGGGCAACAAAATGCACTTTTACCTCTGTTGTTTCAGCTCAGCATCTGCTCTACCTTTAAAGTGCCTCTAAACCCACCCAATGACTAAGTCAGCCCAGCTTCATCTTGGGATGGAGATGTTTAGAAGTGCCATACATACTTGCATCTGCCAGATATGGCTCCTTGTCTTTTCAGGGAGCAGAGTTAGGGTGGAGTGTGGAAAGAAAAGAGAATTAATCATCCTCTGCCAAGGGAGCTCTGACTCACAAGTGTTGGCACAGGCTCTGTGGGCATGAGACCTGCAGGGATGAGAACTCCAGGAGGTTTAAAAGGGCCCGTGGAAGTCAGCAATACAAACACATCAAACCCACCCTCTGCTCAGTGCACACGACAGAATCTGAGTCAAAATCAGCCCCCATCTCACCAAGTAAATGTTCTGAGTGCTCTGGGGTTGGGGTTTATGCCAACCCCACCCTTCCCTGGGATCAGGTCATGGGGAATTTCTACCACTCTCCAGCCAAAAGAGGGAGTCACAAAGAATGTGAGGAGTGAAAGGAATAATTTGCTCTACCAGAAATAGAGTTCGCACAAAAGAGAGCTTGGCTTATAGTTTATGTCTGTTTCTCCACAGTTCTAGCGATCTTGAGTTCCAGGTGCCTGACATCCTTCTCAAATCCTGTTCCAAAATAAACTCTCAAGTGGCTCAAAAACTCATCACATGTTTATTAAAATCCACACTCTCATTAACCAGTAGTGTCTGGTTCTGGACTTGAAAGAAAACAAGCTTCTGGCAATCATGCATCCTAAAGTTTCAGCTCCTTGAGAAACTTGGGGATGAGAGCCACACCTGCTTTATGCCTCCCCTGTCTTAGACAGCAATCGTGCTCCTTGTGTTCACTTTTTTCCTTTCCACTTCCCCTAAAAAAAAAAAAGTTAAAAAAACCCACACTCGTATCTTTTTGCTGTAAGGGAACGGCAAAGGCTGTGGACTCTCCATCCTTGCAGACATCCAGATACTGACATGGACATGAACAGGTGACCCTCCCTGCTTGAGCAGGGGATTAGACCAGATGACCTCTAGAGGTCCACTCCCATTCTGTCGTGCAAATATTCGTGACAACAGATCTACTCTTTCCTTGGAGGAGAAAGATAACAGGATTCATGTGGGTTCTGAGGAGACCCAGGAAACAGCTGGCCTGGTTCTTGGGGACAATGACCTAACAGCTGCTGGGAATGGTTGAGTTGATCTTCATGGGAGGCCAGACCAGAAGCAAAGATTTTTCCATTTTTCCATTTATAGTTATAAACTGTATGACACTGAGGAATAAATTCCTAAAAGAAAGATATTCCTTTTTCCACATACAAGCACCCACACCCAGCCTACAAAAAGGCAGTATTTTCACTTCTCTGTACTATTTGTTACTGCAGTTGCTAGAGGTAATCTCTCTCTGTCTCTCTCTCTCTCAAAGCCAGGTCAGCAGAAAGAGCACAGAACATGCAGCTGCAGCCTATCAGTACAGGTATGTATGCCTGCTGTAGGTGATGGTGCTTGGGGGACTGGGTACTGCTGTCTCCTGTTCCTGAGAGAGGGAAGGGAGAGGAGGCTGAGCCAGGCGCTGGGCTCCAAACACTTCTGAAATAACAACAGAAAGTAGGATTGGATAGGAAAAACGAATTAATAAAGGCTTTCCTGCAGGTAGTGAGAGTTGGGAGTATTCTCATAATGAATTTTCATCTACATGATGAGATTCCCTCCCTCCTTTAATGTCAGAGTCCAGGATATCCTTCTGGCTGCTCTGGCTGTCTTGAGACCCTGGCATGAAGCGGGCTTGGAGATCCTGGCATGAAGTCAAAAACACCTGTGGCTTCAATTTTAGCCTGTGGAAAACTGCCAAGTTTATATGAGGCATTACAAGCCACAAGGGTTTGAGTAGTGTGATATTTGAATTAACACAGGGTGGAAAACTAGAAATGTGGGGTTTTTTAGAATATAATTCAGGGGGTCAAGATGGAGGAATTTGGGCATGTCCTGGCCTTCTTCTCCTTCTTCTTGTCCTCCATGTCTTGGTGTGATGGTGACACTTTTCTATTGGTTCAAGGTAGAGATTCACTGTCTAACATAGATGATAGGAATTGGTAATAAATTGTAAACATAGACACGTAGTTTTGAGTATTAATGTGGGAGCTGCCTGAGGCTTAAGGGCAGATAGCCATGGCTTTCTTTCTGGATGGAGCTTGGCAGGTCAGAGAATGTTATAGATAAGAAAAAATAAACAACCTTTAAAACGCAATCGGAAACATTCCAGATTCCTTCTTTGGCTGCGTTGGGCTAGGGAAGAAAAGATTCTTTACGATCTCTCAGGGTCACCCTGACCCTAAGAACCCCAAGAAATCGACACCTTAACTAGACCACTATGTATTTATTCTTCGACTTGTCATCTACTGCAATGTTCACTGTAGTAAAATTAGGCAGAGCTGAGAAATCTTTAGGTACAGCTCCAGGTTTGTGTATGTGTATTCTCACACTTGTAAGACAGTCACCTATTCTGCAAGCAGTAGTGCCAGGAAGGAAAATTGAGACTTCCCACCCTTCACAGACGATGTTACTATATAACACAGAAAACTCGAGTCCTTCACATATGCACACAGCCCGACAGGGAAAGTATCTGCATGCTGGGAGCTTTTCGCATCTCAGTGCTAAGCAACGGCTCCCTCTTCCTCCCCTGTCCCCAGCACAGGCACAAGGAGAAAAGCTTGGCCACTATGTGATGGTTTTTGCCTTTATCACAGGTTCTATTACATCCCCATCCCTGGAAACTTTTGAGGCCAGGATGGACCAAGCTCAGAAAAACCTGGTCTAGTTCAAGATGTCTCTGCTCATTGTAGGGAGAATAGACTATGTGACCTTTAAAGGTCCCTTCCAAACCAAACTATTCTATGATCCCCATCAGAGCTTTGATGTCTTCTCATTCTCTTAAGAACTGGTGAGGGCAAGCCAAGGAGAAAGTAAAAATACTGGTCTTTAAATCAAAATGATGGATCTTCCCAGTTCTTAAACAACCATGAGCCCTTAGGAGCCATCTTTCCTAGCCAGCAGTGAGAGTACATGCTTAGAAAGCTTGACGAAGCAAGGTGCCTTTCCTGTGCTCATTTCCACACCCAGTACCCTTTCAGAAACCAGTACTGCCCAGTGAGTTTGACAGCCTTACTGGGAATCTGTTCCACGCTTCAGCTGTGCCCCCCATGATAGCAGGTCCTTGCTAGCTACCTAATGTACAGAAGTAGGACAGAAAGGCAGGCTAAAACACCCAGTGAAAATATCTAGGTCACTTAATGAAGAGTTAAACTCATTCCACAAAGCACATTTGTTGCTTTTCTTAGGATGCTCCTGCACCTTCAAAAAAGTGTAAGCTAGTGGGAGTGAGTGACAACTTCATACATTCAGAGGCTTCTTGCTGGCAGGTTAGAATGGGCATTTAACTTATCATCTATCAAATCTTCAGTTTCCACTTTTCTCTCCCACCTGTGCACTCAACACAGCCACCTGATTGAGCAGGAGGCTACTTTTCAGCAGAAAGTAGATTTGGTGCCTTCTGGGCTGCTCTGGCAGTGAGCAAGGAATTGCTCAACCCTCCCTGTGCTAGGTCCCTCTTACTACAAGGACTGAAGGGCAGGGAATGTTAAAAGATACTGGCATGCTGATGGCTTTTAGGACTCCTGCCCAGACCACCCCCTTTCACCAGTTAAACCATCATCCATAAAATAACACTGGAAGACAGATACAGCCTCTCTTACCAGACAGCTTGTCTACAGAGGATCTCCCCATGAGCACTGTGAGGCAGCTGCGGTGCCAGGGACGCAGCACCCAGCAAAGTCTGGCTTTGCTTGCTGGCTGCATTTAAATTCAGAGCTTAAATGCTGCCCCAGAATTGCGTGACTAGCAAAGACCATCAGCCAGAACAAGTCTCTGCTGAAATGTGTGCTGTCAAGTCATTTGCAGCATCACGGTGATCCAGAAAGTTGATGTTATTTCACATTCTTTCAAGTGGGATTTTAAGAAAACACAAAACATGCCTCACAACCCCTTGCATTTTAGTATTTAATTAAGAAGTCATCCTCTGGTAGCTGGGGATGCTGTATACAAGTTGCTGAAAAAAAGAAACTATTTTGACGTTCCGTTTTACAAGCATTAGTAATTTTCTTCTGTTATATGATGAAAAGTCACTAGGAGACAATCCTGCTTGTTTTCATGGAGAGTTACAGCAGGCAGGGCATTGCAGCATTCAGCTGTGTGGTACCAGGAAACTGAGCAGTTTCCCCACAAAATCCACTATTTTTGTCTGTGGATGCTGACTTTACCTTTTGAAGTGGAGAAACAGTATTAATCTGAAAAGGCTCTTGTATTTTATCAGTCTTCCTTTTATTGTCATCATGAAGCTTTAAAATTAGAGTGCTACTTGCAAAGCAGCTTAGATTCTACTGAAATGTTCTGTTTTACTGCTAAGTAGAAAAATGAAGTATTCTGCACCAGAAATACTTCTTCCTTTTAACCATGACATGCAAACTAACAAGTCTTCTTTTGCAATCATATTTTTAAAAGGATCCAATCTCCAGCTGCTAACAATTGAGAATAAACCAATGTCCTAGCCACAGAAATTCAACACCAGAGAGACAACTCTTATGGTAATTTCAGAGGCCAGTCAAAGACACCTGAGAAAAGTCAGATGTTACAGTCCATGAATCTTCTGAGCCAGTGTTTCTCTTCTGTCCTTCAGCTGCCTGCCTGAACCTACAAATCTGCACCTACTTTCAATATTTCTCATTATTTTCATGCAGAATAAAGGAAAGATAATACAGAAAAGAGCCTTATGTTTGATGCAAGGAAATGAACAGGAAAGAGAAACAAAGCATACAAAATGAACCTTTATTAAATGGAAGAAAATCTGTTTTGTGGGTCAAATATGAAATAGAATATACAAAAAACTTTACATCAGATCTCTTGTCAAAGAAATTAAATTCTATCTAGACTGAAGTAGCATTTGTTCTTTCCAAGACAACATGAATGGGTGAATATGCTTCATGTGGCAGTACAGGATCACATAGTCTGCTGTGCTAAATTTCTGGTTACAAAGAAGAAAAGTTAAAAATCTAAACAATGTCTCTAAAGAACTCAACTATTCAAAAAAGTAACCTAACCATGAATGTTGATAACTATGTATTCTCTTACGAGCAAATGGCAGGTGGGTCAAGTGCAGAGTTCACAAAGCTTGCATATCATGTTCTCTGTTTCTATACAAATATAAATCGTTCTTTTTTATTTCAAAATCGTTCTTTTTTTATTTCAAAACTCCTTTTATATTTGATAGCTTTATTTGTGGAAAAGGATGACCAGTTTGTCAGGTGCATGCTGTACTACCCAGACAATTCCATATCCTTTATCTCCTCCTTTTTCTGAATATTGTAACCCATAAACCACAACCTGCAATATTTTTAGAAACTTGATGTATGTTTAACACAAGTCTTTGTGCCACTGTCCCGTACATGAAGGTTCTGCAGAGCTCCTAACGTCTTTGGCATAGCACACCATGTCCCATTTAATACTTTTTTTTTTGCTTAAAAAAGTATATTTTATTTTGTAAAACAACTTAAAAACATCTATTTCTGATTTTGTAAAATAGCATATCACCTCTTGAGATGCTTTGCAAAATATACACACACATTTTGGTAAAACATTGAGTACTGACATAAGGGACTAATCTGAAGTCCGATCTGCTTATGAGAAGTAAATATAATTACAAATTCTGTCTTCTGCATGAATCTCACATGAAGTGGTTCAGTTCAGCTTCAAGTGCTGCTGCCATTTCATCCGCTTCAGAACTGCTTCCTTCCTCATCTTCATTGCTGGATTCTTTACTGGATTCACTGGCAGCATCATCTTCATCCAGTTTGCGCTTGTGACCCCTAGAAGGACAGAGAGAGACAAGACCTGTGAATGGAGGCGTCTCAGTGCTTACTGAGAGACTCATATTCAACATGAGAAAAAGTGAGGCTAAAGGACTCATCTTTTTTCAGGCCTAGACAAAAGGTACAGCACTTGCTTTTTCATAAACTAACAGTAGCCAGTTCACACAATTCATTTTTTAAAAGCTGTTATGTACTGTCAGTGGTAGGTGCAAAGAACCAAAGCAGTGTTAATTTGTTTCTTCCATTCTTCTGAAGAAAGTATGAGACTATTTGAAAATAATGAGTAGATTTGCATTCCTCTTGCATCCGAAAAGAAAGAAGAAAGCCATTGTGTGAAAGAGATATTACCAAAATACAAATATTGTGGTATGATTTTAAAATATTCAAGTTTCTGCTTTTTTTAATAAAAATAAAACCATGACTGATGAACCAAATCTCTCTGCACCAGCCTGTACACTTTCATGCTTCCAAACTTTGAGGTCCCATCCTTCTCTTTTGTGTCTCTTTGGATTAGTCCTGCCAGGCTGAATTTCACATTTCTTCACATCTCTGGAGAATGAACCAATTTAAACAGGAAACTGATGTGCTCTATACCCTGCTGAAAGAATCACGTTCCTGGTTCTGAAAGATCTCCAAGGAAAATCTAACACTTCAGCTGGGACGTAGCCATAAGCAAAAGAATTTGGATTTGTGGAATCCTAAAATCTCTTTTCCTTGCCAAGGGGAATTATATATCAGACATGTACTTCTAAGACAAAAATAAAGTTGAGATTTTCACATTGCACAGAATTCATAATGAGATGTAGAAACACCTTCAAAATCCTTCTGGATAATTTGTTCAAATTTCAAGCAGAAAAATACATGCAGAGGGGCAGGCATCTCTCAAATAACTTTCCTTGCTGAGTGGAGTTTCGTTAAGAAGAGCATGCACCCACTTGCAGTAATGAAAAACTCATAAAATTATCTATTTCAGCTAAAAGCAGTAATTTAACAATAATCCTGTTACTTCTGACAGCATAGAGAAATAGCATATAGCAAGAAAGACATCTGATAAATACTGTCATGAATTATACATATCCAAAAGAAATAAAGGCAAAGATTAAGAGTCAAACTTGTGAGCTTATAAGCAATGCTGAAATACATAGCAATTTTAATTTACACAGACACTTTGATTGCTGCTTTTCAAGAAAGATGAATGCTCATTAGCCCTAACTGCTTGGTTTTTGGGCTGGTTGCCTGACACCTGACCTGCCCTTTCTCAGCTTTTCAGGGAGATGGACAAGGTGTGATGGGAAGTCAGAAAGGAAGTCCAAATCAAAATAGGAAGTGAGCAGTACTACGTTCCACCTTCCCTTTCTGCTGCAGCTGTGGGACAAAAAGAGACACTGCTGCTGCTTTACAGAGCACTTCCTCCCACTTACGTCAGGTGGGTTTTGCTGTTGAGCATAGGGTGGTAGAAGTTCTATTCCTGGGAGGCAAGGCTGAAACTCTGGGATACACTCTGGACTCTAAATCCCTAACAATGAAAAATGGGATAAAGTAAAAGTGTTACCTGAATACTTTGTTACTGAAACTCAAATGTGGTGTGCTGAAGCAGTTTCAGGGCACTAAATGTAGCCTAATTCACAATAAAAAGCAGTTTCTCAGGCATAACAGTGATTATTTCCATGCAGCCTCTATTAGCATGCAGTTTGGACACGGAAGCTTCCATGCTTAAAATGCCCAACTGGAAGAAATCTCAGCACATTTTCATTAAAAGCAATACAAATGTATAGAGCCTTAGCAACACTTGCTGACTTAGTGATGATTTCAGCCTGCAGAGCTACAGTGCTATTTCAAGCATTAATGATACTATTAGCAAAGAAAAGCTAATTGGGAGTTAAAGAAACCTGAAAGAGTCTTACTCAGCAAAAGAAGAAATTAGTGCATCTTTAACAAGTAGAGGATATGAAGTACACAGACAGTGCTAACTGAGAAATAAATATAAAGTCATGAAGGGACTCTATATCACAATGCTCACAGCTGAAAACATTTGTATTCATCTGTTTGTAAGGCTGCATCCATGGAATCTGATGGTATTTGCCCCGTTGAAAAATGAAATTAGCAATCTGACAGCTGTCATTTACACAAATGAAATGTACACACAACTTCAGATACTGTATTAAAGGATGTGGCAGGACAAACAGGCTCTTAAAGCCCAAATACTGTAATTTACTGGGACATAAATCAATAGCACAGATCTCATAGAAAAGAAAAAAAGGGCCTATGAATAAATACAAGAAATAACAGCTCACCTCACTGCTAGTTCATTATTTCTTGAAAGTGCAGAACAGTTAATTTACCAAATAATTACAGCAAAGACTAGCAAAATTATTAATTTATGCAAGAAATTAACTTTTAAAATTTCAGTGTATTTCAGAGCAACTAGATTTTGGTGACTGCAATCAACTAAATACAGGGATCTGAAATACTCAGTGTGACTAGTTAATTAAAACATGGAGCTCCAGCTCACAAAAAGACTTTCCAGAAACCTTAATGGAGTTGTATTAACAGTATCTTTGGAAATCCTAAAGCCTGACCATTATCTGTTTTGTCAGTTCTTGTTATTTCAGCAAGGCTAGAATGACAGCTCTGTTCAATCTCAATATGAAACATTTGTCAATTATGGGGAGGAAAAAACCATGAAAAAAAGAAACCAAAAAAGAAAACACAGCTAAGTATTAGTTCTTCATAGAAAAAACCAAAACAAAAAAATCTCTTCTAAATGTTAGCATTTTTTTCATTACATATAAAAATCTTTCAGTATTTGTGTACTGTAAACTGCAGCTTCACAGGTATTCAAAAAACATTTAAATGAGTATTATGATACAAAACAAAAAGTTAACCCTGACAGAAGTATAGAAGAAGGACATCAGGAACACAGAGCTGCATCTCTTCTTTGCAAATTGAGAAAAGAGAGATTACACTCTGTTCATAATTTCTATCTTCAGAGAAAAAGCAGTATATCCCCATGGTGGTGTATCTATTAACATAACAAATGATTTACAATGTATATTTTCCTCACTGTTTTGTGCCCATTCTTTGTCACTTCCAGTTGCAGAGCCATAGCGTGTAGCATTTTTGAGTGGAAAAGTTAAGCTCATACAGGATTCCTTCCTACTATTTAAAGAAAATGATTCAGCAGTGTTGCAGGCTTCCATTAGACTGATTTGCATTTTTATAACAAATTTTGCTTGACTGCTATTAAAAGCCAAACACGTCGATAATAACTGAGTATCTTTAACCTCACATATGAACAAATGACAAAACACTGAATGCAGAACTTTGAATATCTGACAACTCTGTGAAAAAACTTCTACAATCCCTTTTCCCTTGCATTAAGTATTTTTCCTCTGTAATACCCAGTACTAGGAGGCCCACCAGTTCAAGTGCTGGAAAAATCCTTTCAAAAGAGAACTACATTTCATAAAATCTCACATATTTAAATGAATTGTCAAGAGATTTAAATAAGTAATAAGTGCAATTCACAAAGATATTAAAAATGAAAAGAAAAAACTATTTGTGATTATATACATATAAAAATAGTTTGTAGGAAAATTTCATCTACAGAATGCTAATAAGAAATAGTGATATTCCAAATGAAGAGACAGGTTTACAAAGTTGCAATAGCACAAAGTGTATGCCTATAAAAATAGGACAGAAAAATTTACTGAAAATGAAAATTTATTTAGTTCTTGATCAGTTAAAATGACCACTAAAATCTGATTACAAAGTACAGGTCAAATGAAAACAGCAATCTTATGAATTCACTTTAAATGTAGTTCACTAAGAGAGCCATAGGGAGCAAAGTGAATGAAGTCCAGTATTTCTTGCTTCTATTGTCTTAAGGCTTTTATTTATAATTGGTTGAAAATAATATTGGAAAAACATTCTTCTTTTTTTAACTGAAAAGCAGATTGTCTCTGGTTTGTTTTACATCCCAATGGTACTCCTTTAAGAAACACAGTGCTACATTAAAATAGAAATATCTAATTAGCAAAGGAACTCAAAGGGCAACAAAGTGAACTTAAATCTTAAATTCAGAACCTTATTTTAAACTTGTAAATGAAAACTACAGAAAGTATTTAAATACATGTTCACATATCCTTTAAACTCCAAATACCTGCAATCCCCATCACTGTTCTGATAATGTGTAAACACCTAATTTTTTGCAAGTTGACCTGACTTTTTTCAATAGCTCCTAAAATCAATACAATAACAAAGCAGAGTCTGCAGACTAAATGTGTTTAGTCTTTTACAAGCAATCAGCTTACAGCATTGACATTATAAATTAGGGCTTCAATTTGCTACCAAATACAGCCAAGTTTCTCTTTAATGAGAACACTCACACAGCAGCCATAAGTAGTTTGGAAGGCAAGGGTTTGGAAAGGGCATTTTGAAACTGCGTGCTGCCTTCCAACAACATCACAGCCCTACAACACAACCTATACCACCCCTGGCATGCCTCCAAAGCTCCGTGTGGAATGTCTCTCCTGGTCTCCATACACACCTAGACCACAGCTCTTTGTAAACTCCTTCCACAATGGAAAGAAGGTGATGTGTCATTTGGTAATGCAACTAGAATTTAACTTCCTTCCGCAGGAATTTGACTGTGGGAACAATGTATTCAGACAAACTAGTTCTCTGGCAATATTCTTCAGTTATGAAGAATTAGGGCTGGTTATCCAGTAAAACTCTTCTTCAATCCATTCTGAAGGTGCCAGCCCAGTACTTGGCTAACAAGCTTCAATGCCTTGAGCTCTGAGAACACACAAACTGAAAATCAATGTTGTGAACATTGTATGTCCACGTGTATGCTACATGGGACAGACAAGATGGTTTAATTTTCAGAGAGATGTTCCAAGTCTTGAGGTTATGTTTTTTTAACACAGGATACATGGCAATATCTTTAAGGTCCCTTCCAAGCCAAACCACTCATCACATGTCCTTTCATGTAC